GACTATTTCTCAGCATGACATTTATTTCTCCTGGATTGATGTTTATCTAAATATATCTTCATTTGGCAGACAATAAGTTTAAAAAGAAATTTAATAAACAAAGTTTGGGGCAGAAGATATGAAGAAGTTTGATTTTACATTATTAAAGTTAAAATTATCTTACATAATAAAACATGAGATGCTACATATTACCTATGTGTGGCCTTAAGTGACACAGATGATCAAGATATTCTAGACAATAAACACATAATAACATAACAAAAATACTAAGAAAACATTGCCCAGATAAATTTAGAAAGAAATAGTACTTGAACACTACATGTAAGAAGCAGCATCATTTTCCTACACTATAATAGTGTAACAAATTAAGAATATTAAATGGCTTAATAATTTACAATTAAAAATTTTCAATAATTGTACTTTTAGTCAAAAAATTTAACCTATCAAATAAAAAGGTTTACATTTCCTAAACACACTCACAGAATTACAAGCAACCCAGGGACATTGCCAGAACTGCTTCTGTTGTCAAGAACAAGATAGCCTAGATTTATTTAATAAATCTTGCTCTACAATGTGAGTATATTTAACACTAATAAGGTGTACACTAAAATGGTTAAGATGCTAAATATTATGTAATGTGCTTTTTCCCCATAATTAATTAAAAAATCCACCAGGTGCTAGTGTTTTAAGTAATAATGAACTTTAGGATGATACATAATAAAATTTTAAATTAACTTTACATTTTTGGGCACAGGTGTGTATTAAAGCAAATTTGAAAATATTTATTTGTACTTATATAATCTTTATTGAGTAATTTGAATACTTGTTGCTTCAAACTAGCATTCATTTGAATTATAGCAGAATGTTAATGAGTGACTAATCCATTCTATTTTCTAGAGTTATCATTATAAGGATAAATATAAAACATAACATTGTCAACCAGTATAATATTGAAGAATCAGTATCTACATACAAAAATAATCTTTTGCTTAAATAAATACTTTGATCAAGAAAGTAAATAAAATAGCTTACTTTTTCAGGACCCTCTATACTCTCATTCTTCTGACCTTTTAATTTTATTTTTAATCAGTACTTCTAAATATTTAACAATGTTCAGTGTAGGACAGTATCAAATTAATAACCTACAAAGGACTTTTGTTGATGTATATTACTAGAAGTGATGTATTATGGAGCATACTGTGCCTATCATTTTTTTCTAAAAATACACCCTGTTAAATCTCACTCTCTCAGGTTGAAAGACACAGTTGAATTATAATATGTGGGATTTCAGCAATAAAGTTGTTCGTCTTTTACTGTTAGGCATTGTGTCTTGGTCAGTAACCCGTTGTCATTGCGGAATGATACAAATTACCAACGACTAAAGCAAGGGGTCGAGGGAGGACAACTTGCAATGATCCACTTTTACAATATTTAAATATTGTTAATTTTTTACAGGCCTCTTCAAATTGATCATTCTCTTCCTTAAATAAATGAAAATGATGTATCAATAGAACAAAACCCACATGTCCTAATATAGAATCGGTAGCCATCAATTAGTCAGGCTCTGTCATTTAGTGTTAGTAAAATCCTTTTGGTTTCCACAATAAAAATAAATAATCCTTATACTGCAATCTCACAATATTTTCATAGGAATGAACATGATCCGTTTTATCTTTTAATGTAACCGTTCTCACTTTTATATGTATTGATATTGTATTATTATTAATTTTAGGCAGGTGCTATATATATATACACATATTTTTTGAGACAGAATCTTGCTATAGGGATACTCAGGCTAGAGTGCAGTGGCATGATCTTGGCTCACTACAACCTCTGCTTCCCGGGCTCAAGCAATTTTCCTGCTTCAGCCTCTCGAGTAACTGGGATTAAAAGTGCATGCCACCACGCCCAACTAATTTTTGTACTTTTAGCAGAGATGGAGTTTCACCATGTTGGGCAGACTGATCTAAAACTCCTGACCTCAAATCATCCACCCGCTTCAGCCTACCAAAGAGCTGGGATTACAGGCATGAGTCTGTAGGTACCCGGCCGACAGGTGCAATATCTTATAATTTTATCATTGGAGCAATAAGTAATAAATAGTCATTGTATTAATTTAATTGAAATGTAGACATTGCTATAATGCTCCTAACACTAATACTTTTCATCTTTTTCCTTTGCCAAACATTTATTCACTGAAAGAAAATAGCTTATGATGCATCTTTAGCAAAGCATACTTATATTTGCCTGTTATAGCTAGACATACGAATATGTCCTAATAGATATCAATGAAGAAATATGTTGTAATAATATACTCATGGTTTGCTTACAAAGGTGTTTCTCTAATAAACACTTGCTTTCATGGACAAAAAAAAAAAGCGTCTGATGAATCTTCAAGAAAGCACACTTACATGTCTTCTAAAACCGGAACTGTAAATCTCTGTAGTATGAACCAATGTAGAAAGAA